GTAAAAGTTAACTATAACCAAATAAAAGGAGCCGGCCAAGAGGCCACCTTAACACCAAAAAAAAAAAAAAAAAAAATTAATACATATACCTATGAATTTAATTCGCAAGATTAATTCAAATAAAAATATAGTTAACCTGAACTTTTATTATCATTCATTACAATTGTTATTATATTCGTATTTCTTTAAGTAGTTAATAAATATAAGATTATAATGAACCAATATAGTATAGATGAGCAGATCAATATAGTACAGGCTGATTTTAAAACCTATACCATACTCATCATTTATAATTCCTAATACTATATACTACCAGATCAGTATGATACAGATTTCAAAAATCAGCTTGTACTATACTGATCTGCTCACCCATATCATATTAATTTGCAAAATTCTTTTTATTAGTAGTGATTTATATATTCTTGAAAATATTATTTGTTATGAATTTCATACTAATCTGTTTAGTCACTATACCAATACCATTAATATCACTACTTATCAGACTCATGAATTCCAAATTCTGATGACAAGTTTCTATAAAAAATAAACAATTAAGCAATTAAGCACATATGTATATATATATATACAGATATGTGTATGTATATACAGACTTTGGTACCAAATACATACAATCCTAAGAATATAGTCTATATGAAATTGATGAAAATTTCACAACAGCAACACTAAGGCAAATAGCATTTTTTCAATTAAGAATGCAGCTAAGATATATAATACATAATTATATGTAACAGCTAATAATCTACTTCTAAATCCTAATTATTCCTTATTGATTCTACATGTTGCTCTATTATGGCCTCTATTTCCACAATTTTGGCATGTCTTTCTTTTATCTTTAGTTTCATCATTGGATTGATTAATTTCTATTGGTTGTAAACGTTGTCTTTTTGTAGCATGTTGATCTTGCATTTCTACAGTACTTTTTGCTCTTCCTGATGGTCTTCCTCTTCGCACAGTAATTACAGGATTCATAATACTATTTTTAGTATCTTCCATTTTTTCGTCTAATTCTTGATTTCTTTGTTTGTCAAGTATAAATCCATGACAGATACCTATTAACTCATCATATGTATTGGTAGAAATTGCGATATTAAGAGCTTTTCGCATTATTCCATGTGCTCTACCATATTTTTGTTATGTATTATTGACCTCTCGTAATGCTGGACCATAAACTTCAGCTCCTCTTATTTGTTTGATATAATCAAATTTGTATATTGAACGTTCATAGTCACTTTGATTATGGTCTGAATCTTTGCATAAAGTAATAAAACACTATTGCTAAATGTTATTACTGCCTCTAAAGAACTCGTCTTTATACCAACGCGTTGCAATAAATCCTATATGCCATTTGGCCTGAGCAGAACTACGTAAAATCTTATAGAAGTGTCGACACAGATATCCATGAGTTATAATAAGGTTACATGTATATCGGTGGGACCCATCTGCTAATAATACAACATAATTCATTTTGGTACCACAGGATATTACAACTCTCCATATTTCTAGAATTTGATTTTGTCCAATTGTTGATATAATTTCGGTAAGATGTATTTTTGCAACTTCATAGTTGTCTTCCCGTAGACTTCATCATAATCAATATTACTTTGATCCTATTGAAAAAGATAAAATATTTTAACTCTGCATAGGTGAAAAATCCAATAAGAAATTAATATTTAACCTGATTTATAGTTGTGATATCTATTTTGAAACAGTTGTAATAAAAAACATTCTTGCATCTGATTACAAGCAACAAACACCAGCGATGGCATAAAATACTTTGAAATGACCCCTTCAATGGAATTAAAATAAGTTTTTGTAATTGTTGAGAGACCTGTAGTAGGAATTTGTTCCTTATACTCCTCTACTCTTATATGCTCCGACTCCTTATCAAGTAATAATTGAATTTCTTTTATTAACATTAAAAGTGACGAATTTGATTTAATACAGCTATGAATTTTATGATTTAAGCTCTCAACTCTCTGAGTACTGTTTGCGCCAGCTGTAAATTGATTATTAGTATAACACACAGCCCATTTGTGCTTAAATGGATCTAGTTGTCGCTTTATGTAACTATTTGCTGATTTGTACTTCTCTTTTAAGCTTTCCTAACTAATGTATTTCTATATCTAAAAAACGCTTCATAAAACTCTTTAAATTTCATTGAACCTAGCTTATTCCAAAGATTTTTTTTTATATTGAGATCAATATGGAATATACATAAACAATGAATAGAATTTGAAAATTCAAAGCTTATTGCATTAGCCATTCCCAGATCAGAATCAGTAAACACAACAGTTGGTGTTAAATTCTCTGTATATTTGTTAATCATTTTCAGTGCCCAGATAAAACTATTCTCTGTTTCATCTTCAAGTAAAGCACTTGCAACAAGTCGTGTTCTATTATAATTGTCAATTATAGCAAAGAACAGGCCATCATATTATACTTGTTAGTACGGGATGTAGTGTCAAAAAAAACAATATCGTGATAACATGTCCACAAAAATTGTTGTTCAGGTGACATCTATACTAACCCACATAATCGACGCTCAACTCCATCAAATTTTGCTTCTATAAACCAACGTGAATCTTCTGCACATTACGAGTACAGGTGCCTCATAAGATCTGATGCATCGTATTCAACCCTTAATGTTAATTTTTTTTGGCTATTTGAATTACGTTGTAAAGACTCTTCTGATAAATCTTTCTTCCAAGAAATTTTCCTTTTAAGAGCCGCCCAATACTTTGTGCACCTGTTATACTATGATATACACAAAATTTAACAAATTCAACCATATCATCACCAAATTTACGATACTTAGCGATGTTAGTTTGGGGTGAAGGTGTCATCAAATAATTATGCTCATCCACAACAGTTGTAAAAGAAATTATTGATGTGTCTTTTGAAAGGTTTCTATTAACCCTTCACTTACAATCTGTTGCCCTTGATGTTCGATTTCTTTGATTGTCCAGATTCAGGACTTTTTTTGCTTTATACTTATCTGCGCAACTACACTCCCAGCCAACTCTAATTAAAACTTTGTTATTATCAAACTCAGTTCGTTTTCTTCGTATGCTAAAACCTTTCTCCAACCCATAGCTATCTAAAAATCTTTGAGCGTCATCCCAGGTAAGAAACGTCTGACCCAAAAACAAAGTTAGACCGGAAAAAGTACTATCAGATTCTTCATCAGAAGAGTCTGTATCAAATACTGAAATATTGTTATGATCTTGATCTAACAACTGTTCTTCCAAGTTAATTTTACTTTTTGGTTTGTTAGTAGCTTCATCATTTATTATTATATAAGCACTTTCGAATTCCAATAGCTGTCCTTTCAAGTTGACATTATAACTTGAATTGTTAGTGGTTTCGTCACTTATTGTTATATAAGTTCTTTCGGATCTCAACTGTCTTTCCAAGTTAACTTCGCTTTTTGAATTGTCAATGGCTTCATCATTTATAACTATATAAGTACTCTCCTCAGTAATTTTGTCACTTATTATATGAGTTCTTTCGTTTGTCATGCTTGTTGCTTCTATTTTATTGAATTTATTATCCGTATATTTAATTAACTTCGTAATAACAAAAAATAAAAAAATAAAAGAGTAATAAGAATATTGATCAACTGCGGAACTATTTAGACGTGCAAACTATATCACATAATCAATTAACAGTGATTTTACAAACAGGAGGAACCGTCGATGTTAAATGACTGATCCTTTACCCGGTGTTCAGCATATAAAAAATCATTTTACAATACTAGATCATTCCGCTAGTACATGTTTGATTATAATATAATACCATTATAACATGTAGCGGAATGATCTATTATTGTAAAATGATTTTTTTATATGTTGCACACCAGGTAAAGGATTAGTCGTTTAACATCAACGGTTCTTCCTGTTGATTTTATGTTAATAAGTATCACGTGATTACCAGTGAATTTACCTCTGGTGAAATGTAGTTATTTTCTTTAAAAATATATATATAATTTAAAGCATATTTATTATAATTTAAAAATGTTTTTAAAACATATAT